GGACCTTGGTTCGTTTCTCAGGACTGTCTGGTCACAGATACGGGACCAGCAGTTCTGCTCTGCAGAGCACAGCAGGACACGGTGGACACTCGCAGGGATTACAGTTCAGAGCCACTGAGAGTGACCTGGATAATTTCTTTTTTCTTTTTCTCACCACTCAACCCTGTGAGACTATCCACAGAAAGTGGGCCTGGGGCAGGGTAACTGGGGACGCAGACGTTGAGTTCGCTACTCCCGAAGTCGCCGTGGCAGCCATGTGAAATCAGAAAGCACGCCCGTGACACGGAGATGCAGCCGGCGCGCGGTGGTCACGGCCACGCGGAGGGACGACGGACGGGTGGCACGGCTCCTGAAAGCAGTGCCGGGCTGGCGGCACAGCCAGTGCTGGAGACGGAGGCGGCGAGGCCCGTCGGGCCAGTGGGGGAGGATCAGATGAGGATGGAAGGAAAACCCTGCTGACGTTAGGCAGCCAAGGAGCAGCCCGCAGCCCCCACAGAAGTGGAAGCTGGACACCTCGGAGCGTGAAGGGAATGTCCACTCAGCATGGGGGGAGGGGACTGTCAACCTGATCAGGGGTCATTTCTTGGTGGTGGTGGTTGTTTTTTTTAAGAAAAAGGAAAAAACAAACAAGTTGAACAGTTTTGAAATTGAAGCTTGTGATCGATCCATGCTTCCTCAGAGTGGAAATCAGGATTGTTTTTAAGCAAAAACATTTGATCTAGGTGTGACAATGAAGTCGAGTGAACTATAACTGCCAAATAATTTTCGGCATTCCTCAAGTGAGTTGTAGGACCGGCCTAGGCAGTAATTGTATTTAGGTGACAGCCGTTCAACTGACATTAACTGTTGCTCTCAAACAAAAACCAAACTCACTCCTGTCGAGTCGATCCCACTCGCAGCAACCTGACAGGACAGGATAGAACTGCCCCGGTGAGTTTCCACGAGTGTAACTCTGTACGGGAGTAGAAAGCCTCATCTTTCTCCTGAGGAGCAGCTGGTGGTTTTGAACTGCTGATCTTGGGATTAGCAGCCCAATTCTTAACCACTACACCATGGCTCTTAGATCACATTTTATTGAACACTGGAGGCATGCTGAAAGACATGCTTGTTTTGGAAACAAAACTCAAATATTGGCTCTGTGGTTAAAATTAACAGTAAAACATTTGGCATGTTTTTTAATTCTAGTTTCATTTAGTAACCTGTAAGGGGGAGATGGTGGTGTGGTGGGTTACCCGTTGGGCTGCTAATGAGGTACCAGTCCACAAGTCCACCCCAGATTGACTCCACACCAAACCGACCTCTCTGCTGTTGAGTCAGTTCTGCCCTGCAGAACAGGGACGAACTGCCCTTGTGGGTGTTCAAGACTGCAACTCTTTACCTAAGTAGAAGCCTCATTTTTCTCCTGAAGAGCAGCGTGAGGCTTCAAACTACTAACCTTGCAGAAATCAGCTACCTGTCAACCACTGCATCACCAAGCTTAAATTCTGGCCCAGATTTAAGAGGTGGGGAAAAGAGAGCATCTCTTGATTAGAGAAGCTGCCACATCATTTGATAGAGGGGGCTAGAGAAAGAGAGAATGAGAAAGAGGTGAAAAATTGCAGCGTAACTACTTTTTTACAGTTAGGGATCATTCATGTACTGTCCCTGAATTGTGTTCCTTATGTCACTGACCACACACTGATCATTCTTTTTTTTTCTCGTTTTTTTAATTGTTTTATTTATCTCGTTGCTGTTGAGAATACGCACAGCAAAATGTACACCAATTCAGCAATTTCTTTTTTTTTTTTTTGTAACATTTTATTAGGGGCTCATACAACTGTCATCCCAATCCATACACACATCAATTGTGTAAAGCGCATTTGTACATCGTTTCTCAAAACATTTTCTCTCCATTTAAACCCCCGACATTAGGTCCTCATTTTTCCCCTCCCTCCCCGCTCCCCCCTCCCGCATGAGCCCTTGATAGTTTATAAATGGGTATTTTGTCATATTTTGCCCTGTCCGACGTCTCCCTTCACCCACTTTTCGGTTGTCTGTCCCCCAGGGAGGAGGTCACACACAGTTCCATGTAATCGGTTCCCTCCTTCCTACCCATTCTCCCTTTACCCTCCCAGTATCGCCACTCACACCACTGGTCCTATAGGGCTCATCCGTCCCGGATTCCCTGTATTTCCAGTTCCCATCTGTACCAGTGTACCTCCTCTGGTCTAGCCAGTCCTGTAAGATAGAATTCGAGTCATGGTAGTGGGAGCGGGGAGGAAACATTTAGGAACTAGAGGAAAGTTGTATTTCTCATCATCGCTACATCGCACCCTGACTGGCTCATCTCCTCCCCGAGACCCTTCTGCAAGGGGATCTCCACACACTGATCATTCTAAATGTCCTCTGACTCTTTCCCTGTGGGCCTATTCTTCTGGAAGGAATGGGTGCATTTGGTCTTCATCCTTTGGGGCAAGCTAAAACATGCAACGTGCAATGGACACCTGGTGGAAACACGTGATAGAACCACACAGGAGGCTTTTCTGGATTGTGCTAAGCAATTGAGTTAAACGGCATTTGAGGAGAGTGGTCACTTGCATTTGTAGAATGAGAGTGTTTTAAGTCTGGAGACAGGATTTATTAACTAGAAGAGTATCCTCTTATTTCTGAGTTAAATTCAGCAAGAAGCTTGCTATGAAATGTCATTAGCAGGCTAGCTGTGATAAAATAAACATGTGAATCACTTTCCCCTGAACTGAAACATATGGTCTGCCTTCCAAGTTACTAATGACAGATGAGAGTAAGAACGTCCTTGTTTGTTTGTTACACACACTCTAATCTATCGAAACAACCTCTTGGATTTTAGTTTTGTGTGTTCATTCATCTGGGTGGTTTACAATTTTCCATCACTCAGTCTATTTAACTCAGCACCTTTGCTTGTGGGTGAAACAGACTCTTAACACATTAGTGTTATTTACTCCCACAAATCCAAGAATGTCTGCCCTCTGGCATCTGTAGGGGTTGCAACATTAGGGAGTGAATTAGCAAACATACTCTGCCAGTTTTAATGAACTAAGCAGCACTTGAGGCACTCACTGGCTTTGCCTCAAAATTTGGAAGACAGCTACCTGGCCAACAAACTGAAAGAGATTTGTGGCAGTTACATAATCTCCTGTCAACTTGAAAAGGGGTGGAGTCTAGCCTGTCAATCAGGTTGCAACTTGATGACCTCATTTGGAGGCACAAAAGAGGTAAATAGCTCACTGGGGGGGCCAGATGCATGCTCTGCTTCGTATTCCTGATGACAAGACACATGGAGCTACACTAGAACCCTGAAGCTGGAAGAGCCATGTGGAGACCCATGCCAGTGTTGAGATGCTTACACTACCACTGGATCCACAAGACTTTCCACCCAGTGGCCTGTGATCTTGAATTCGGAGTCATTGCATGTGTTGCATGATCTCAAGAGGAATTTATAGATTGATATCAGACATATGAGCTAATGTCAGACTTATGGACTTGAATCTGGCTGGGATGTTTTCTCAATATTCAATTGCTCTTATATGTAAAGCTCTTCCTTATACACATGTGAGTATCTATGAATTTGTTTCTCTAATCAACCCAGACACTACACTGGACTCTAGGATCTGCATGCTAGGCCCAAGTCAGCCAGGGGCTGACTGTACGAACTTCAGCAGACCCCCAAACTTTTGAGCCTCGTTTCCCTCATTCCCTCCTTTTCCTCTTCCCAGTAATGAAAGTCTTAGCCAATCCTGGTGCTGCTCAGTGGGCGGCATGCATAATGTTGGACAGGTGGCTTTGGGTGGTACATTAACAAATATTTTTGCAAGTTAGTAGAAAGGGTTTTTTGAGTTTCAGTGCTTTGTAAGGCAATTAAAACATTGATCCCATGAGTCCGTGGATATTGATGATATAGGACAAGGACAAGAGTTCTCAATGGGGAAAGGGAGTCAATTTAAGGAAAACAAAGTTAAACAGAATCCTGATGGTACTCAGCAGTGGCAGAACTGATGAAGTAGTGTGAAAATAGTGACGGTTTGGGAAACAAGGAGCTAATTCTTCAGAGATCTTTCGATGCTCTCACTAGGGCCCTTCTGTGAAATCATTTCGCACGCACAGACCGTTCATCCCATAATGCCAGTTAACGATGACCATCCCCCAAGTTAGAACCATTGCCGCCAAGTTGATTCCAACTCAGTGACCCTATCTAGACAAGGCTTCCAAGCGTGTTCCCATAGGGGAACAAATAGACTCATCTTTCTCCTGCGCAACAGCTTGTGGGTTTGAACATTGACCTAGCAGTTAGTTGCCCAGTGCCTAACTTATGGTGCCAATCAGGCTCCTTACCAAGGGCAACACCCTGCTCTTACTGGGAGAGCTCTGTCTGCCAGTCCCCGCCGATCCTAAGCCCACTGAGCGGGGCACTCACCACAGAGCAGGCCTTCCGAGAGGACTGCGACTTCGCTGGGTTTCCTGTGCTTGCTCCAACATTTACAAAAAGCACCAGCTCAAGTGGCCATGCTCTCACTTAAGCACCAAGTCATCTTTATAAGTGCGAGTGGTTTCCTATTGACAAAAACCACACGGACTCGTTCTGTCACGTTGGGAAAATGCAAACACTCTGGATTGAGAAGAAAGCTGGCATCCTTGTGCTTATGAACCACCAACAAGCCCTGCTCGGTTCCCTCCTTAAGAAAAAAAATCTGCGGAATTCTGACAGGTGGGGATTTATTTCTGTTTATTTTGGAAACTTGGGAAAGTCCTGAGTTGCGTGTGTTTGCATCCTAAACCCAACGTTTTCCTGGAGAACCCATTGGTGGGCATCCGCTGGCACCTCTGTTAGTGGCCGTTGATCAACAGCGGAGCTGAACCAAAGCTGGCAGCAGCCACTGCAGATGCAGCAACCTTCTTGCAAAATGTGTTGTGTGTGTTGAGCCGCGTCCTACTGATAAATTTTCTGTGTATCCAGATGCTTATTTGTCTGTTTGTCCCTCCTACAGGGTTTTTGGTGTCTCTGGATGACTTTTACATTCTTAGCAGTGGTTTGATAATGTTGCAGACCACAAATAGTGTGTTTAATAAAACCCTGCTACAGCAAGTGGTACCCCAGTCTCTTCTGGCCTGGCAAAGAGTCCGTGTAGCCAATATGATGGCAAAGGATGGTAGAACATGGGCAGAGATCTTTTCAAAATACAACTCTGGTAAGTGCCCCACCCCCGCCCCGAATAACTTTTTAGCATATGGCTAAGTTACGATTTGGAGATAACAAGGAAAGCCAGACAGCCGCTGCCTTCACGTCTCATGCCTTTCAAGGGACCTACAACAACCAGTACATGGTCTTGGATCTCAAGAAAGTCAAGCCAAAAGTCAGCCTCGACAATGGCACGCTGTACATTGTGGAGCAGATCCCTACCTATGTGGAATATTCTGAACAAACTGCGGTCCTACGGAAAGGTACTTTCTGTGTTCTCCAAGTCCGGAATTGGGATGAGTGTGTAGGTGTGTGTGCAGCATGGTGGGAGGGATACAGTTGGTGTGTTAGTCAGGGTAGACTAGAGAAACAAATCCATGGACACACATATGTGTATAAGAAAGAGATTTATATACAAGAACAATTGAACATTGAGAAACCATCCCAGCCCAGAGCAGATCAAGTCCGTAAGTCCAATATGTCCGATACCAATCTGTAAAGTCCTCTTCAGACTCACAAAACACACGCAATGACGCCGAATGTAGAAGATCACAGGTCAGTGGGTAGAAAGTCCTTGGATCCAGTGTCATTGGAAACATCTCAGCGCTGGCAGGGGTCTCTGTATCAGGGTGGGTCCATGTGTCTTGTCAGCTGCTATGTCTCCCAAGGAGTAACATAGTGAGAGTCTCTCCTGCCTCCAAGGAGGAAGTACCAGATTTCCCAGAATTCTCAGGAGAAAGCCATGCCCAGAGGGCTCATTGGCTATGAACTGATTGACAGGCTAGACTCCACCCCTCCACTCTTAATCCTCAAAATGACAAATGATTATATATCTACCACAGTTGGGAAGAAAGGATGGGGGTGAATTACTAGTTACACCAGGGTAGGCACTCTGCAGCACAGACATTTGGAAGCCAGGCTTTAGAACCACACTGAGCCTGGGTTTGAATCTTTGTTTCTCAAAGTCTCAACAAAGCCATCTTCCTCGGCTTCATTTTCTTCATCTGTAAGAGGTCATACCCCAAACTAAACCAAATGCATGCCTCTCATCAATTCCGACTCCATAATCCTTGCCAAGTGAAACAAATCAGTCACAAAAAAGGCAGATAACGTATTTGTCTAGAATAGGTAAATATAAAGCCAAAAGTTTACTAGTGTTTACATGAGCCCTGGAAGGACAATGGTTACGCACTCATCTGCTCGCCAGAGTTTGGGGGGTTTGAACCCATCTAGAGGCTTCATGGGAAGACGACTTAGAGATCGGATCTAGGCTACAGATCAGAACCAAAGAAACCTCTCACTGGGGTTGCTATGAGTATGGACCCAGCACCACTTACCAGTAACAGCCAGGGCCCAAAAGGGCAGGGAGTCATTCCTTAGGGGACACTGAATTTCTGGAACAGAGATGAGACCTTTGGAAACAGTGATGGTGATGGTTGCCCAACACAATGAGCATAATCAAGGTCACTGAGTTATCAACATAAAAATTGTCTTAGTAAATGTGTTGTTTTATGTGTGTGTGTGTATAACAAAATATATAACAATTCATTCACTAGGTCAACAATTTTTACATTGACAACAATTTCACATTGATGTGTGTGTATTTCCAAACTAAAAACCATACTCACTGCCATTGAGTTGATTCCAACTCATAGAACAGGGTGGAATTGCCCCTGCAGGATTTCAAGACTGCAATTCTTTACAGAGGTAGAAAGTCTCATCTTTTTCTTACTGAGAGGCTGGTGGTTTCAAACGACTGGCCTTGCAGTTAGCAGCCCAAGGTATAAACACTAGGCCACCACACACACACACACACACACACACACACACTCACACACACACACAAATTATTAGCTAAAAAAGTTTATTAATGCTAAACCTATCTACAATACCATATATAAAAACCCAAAGTTTTAAAAAATTTGTTTTGTTCTAGTTCATTTGGTAGACAAATCTGACCTGCTCTGGATACAATGGGCAGCAAAACCTGATGTGAACAGCAAAGCCTGTCAGTAGCCTTTATTCCCTGTGAGAGCAAAACTACTTAAACACGGGCTCCCAAAATATCAGTCCTTGGTTATGAGAGGATTCCCCCTGGAAGTGCAGAGCCATGTATGCACTCTAGTATCTCTTTAAATCTGAAACCCCGGAACCGTGAGAGTTTGTGGGTGTGGGTGTGGGAATGTGGCCCTTAGCAATTCCATAGGTTGTCATGAGAATGACGTGATCCAGGCACATTTTTTAAAAAAAATCATTTTATTAGGGGCTCATACAACTCTTATCACATCCATACACACATCAATTGTGTAAAGCGCATTTGTACATTCATTGCCCTCACCAGTCTCAAAACATTTTCTCTCCACTTAAACCCCCCGCATTAGGCCATTTTCCCCTCTTGATAGTTTATAAATTATTTTGTCATATCTTGCCCTGTCCGACGTCTCCCTTCACCCACTTTTCTGTTGTCCGTCCCCCAGGGAGGAGGTCACATATAGTTCCTTGTAATCGGTTCCCTCTTTCATACCCACTCTCCCTCTACCCTCCCAGTATCGCCACTCATACCACTGATCCTGTAGGGCTCATCCGCCCTGGATTCCCCGTTTCTATCTGTACCAGTGTACATCCTCTGGTCTAGCCAGACTTGCAAGGTTGAATTTGAGTCATGGTAGTGGGAGCGGGGAGGAAACATTTAGGAACTAGAGGAAAGTTGTATTTTTCCTGAGTTACATCGCACCCTGACTGGCTCATCTCCTCCCTGAGACCCCTCTGCAAGGGGATCTCCAGTGGCCTACAAATGGGCTTTGGATCTCCACTCCGCACTCCCCCCATCATTCACTATGGTAAGATTTTTGTTCTGATGCCTTATACCTGATCCCTTCGCCACCTTGTAGTTGAATAGGATGGTGTGCTTCTTCCATGTGGGCTTTGTTGCTTCTGAGCTTGATGGCCGCTTGATTACCCTCAAGGCTTTAAGACCCCAGACGCTATACTTTTTGATAGCCGGGCACCATCAGCTTTCCTCGCTACATTTGCCAGGCACATTTTTAAATGCAGTGCTGGCATGCAGCCAGCACTGCTACCTTGCTTCCAGCACCCAGGCACTCATCCTTGATGACTGGTGATTTGATAAATAAACACCAAGATGATGTCTGAGTGAAGAGTTCAAAGCTGGGCCTTTGAGTGCTGAGAGTCAAAAGAATCGCATGCCTCTGGGGATTTTGAAGTTTTATCTCCTGTCTCCTTACACTATGGACTCCCCAGGACCCCCCACCCCCTGCCAACACAGCTGGGGGTAAAAAGGAGGTCAGCTGCCCATGAGCTGGTTGAATAGTTCCGAGCCTGGGTTCAAGTGTTTTGGTACTCAGTGCTGTTTTTCCACTACTCCAGGTTAGCACCTAGCATCCCTTCCTGCCTCCTTTAGGGCCACTTGATGAAGCTACCCTCTGGCATTTCAATACCAGCCTTCACTTAGCTGAGTTCCCCGGGTTACTTTGCATTATGGCTCTATACAGAATATGGTTATTTCCTGGCTTATCGATTGCTTTTCAAGTTTGGGGTCAACAAATCAAATGCGGATGTTCTCCTTCGACAGTGGCAGGACATGGAGGTCGAACACTGGTGACAGAGGGGTTGCTCATTGGGCTGCTAATCACAACTCAACAGTTCTGAACAACCAGCTGTTCCAAAATAGAAAGAGGCGGCTTTCTACTCCCGTAGAGTTAGTTCCAGAAACCCACAGGGGCAGTGCTACCTGTCCTATAGCATCGCCAGGAGTCAGCAGTGACTTAATGGCAGTTTGTTTATTGGCCAGCTGGTTATACTAACTCTGAATATTTAACAAGATTGGCTTGGCTGTGAATGTTCATGTTCAAAATTTTATTTTCTATAGAGTATCATTATGTATTTATGTGTCTGTGGCAATTTTCAGAGTAATCATTCCTTTCTTTCATTGGTCCTCTCTTATTTTCTGTCTGTCTCTCCGTCATCTCCACCCCCCCCTCATCTTCCAATCCAAATCAGGATACTGGCCCTCCTACAACATTCCTTTCCATGAAAAAATCTACTCCTGGAGCGGCTATCCACTGTTAGTTAAGAAGCTGGGCTTGGACTACTCTTATGAAATGGCCCCACGAGCCAAAATCTTCCGGCGCGATCAAGGGAAAGTGACTGATATGGAGTCTATGAAATATATCTTGCGATACAACAGTACGTAGCACATTTCTCAAGACTCATTCTTCAAAACTCCTTTTCTCTTCTCTGGATAAAGAATCCATGTAAGTTAATTATCTCTGTACTAAAAGGAATTCTAAAAAGTTGCTGAATTAAGAGTCTTATATTCAATTAATAAGCATATTTTATACACAGTAGGATTTTGCCCTCTTTGTAAAATAGCAGGAAGAGACTACAGATTTAATTTTTTTTAAAAAAGGAAAATCAGAAATTAGCTACGTGGACTCTTCTAGATCTGCCAACACAGGTTTCCTTTCAAGGGTAAAAGAGTAGGAAAAATAGAGAGGGGCGGGTTGGAGTATGAACACCTTTAATTTTGATCAACAGTACTGAAGTCAAATTTGTATTTATGTATTGGGAAAAGTATCTCGCTTGTATATTTGTCCTCTATTATCTCTCTTTCACTCATTCTTCACGAAGCCAGGTTCTTTAGGGCAGGCTGGGTCTTGGGCAAGGGATTAGACATTGCCTCTCTTAGTATACACTCCAGGAGACTGAGTTAACAGAGCAAGTTGGGATGAGGGGGCTTGTGAGGAGTATGCTTTGACTATCTACTCTCTCACAGGTCTAAAAAGTTTACTGTGAATGAATGTATCTCAGAACATTCAACACTCACTCTTTTCCCCATCATCCTGTTTCTTAGGATACAAGGAGGACCCTTACAGCCGTGGTGATCCCTGTAATACCATCTGCTGCCGCCAGGACCTTAATTTAAAGAACCCAGCCCCTATCGGTTGCTATGACACAAAGGTAACATGCTATTGACTTTTCAACTTAATTTCCACCAAGACTTAGACTTACTCAAAGGCAAAGGTGCTGAGATATTTGTGGTATAAAGCACAGTCCTCTCTCTAACCATAAACTAAATTCTGAATTCAGCTTTTCAGCAGAGATTCAGATAGCAGGTCCCATGGACTAACTTCAGTCACTGCTCTGCCACTTAATCGTAATGTTTCTGTTCCCTTATCCGTAAAATGGAAATGAGTACTTACTTTGCAGTGGTAATATGAAGAATAAATTGCTAATCAGTTTAAAAATTTTATGAGTACTTAATATGAGTTATCTGTACATGTAAATAATCTGATGGTCACGATTGTGATATTGTTGACCCAAGTTTTACCTCGCCCAACATGCAAAGAACATGTTTTTGAGAAGAGTATGAATTCACATTAGACATAAACAGATTTAAGACATCGTCAGATGTCTTAAGTACTAAAGGAGCATTGGGTAAGTGCTATTGTGTCTCTTACTGTAGACAAGTAGGCAGTGGGACGCTGGAGATGGCTTGTACCGGCTAGGGAAAGGCAATTGGTAAAGGCCATTGCTATCATAGTAGCTTGAAAAGGGCCGTGGTGGTAGTGCTGATGTGACAGAAATCAATAGACTCTGCACACCCTCAGAGAAAAGGTGGCTAACCATTGACCTGGACAGCACTGGATTTGGGTTATCCAAGGGTGTGATTAGCCATTTGGTTGGTGGAGAAAAAGAATTATTCTACATGTTTTTGCACTTTTGGCTCAGGCTTATGTCCTTTGTGTTGCTAGTCTTGAAATTGGGGAAAAAATGGTAAGAAATTGAAGTGACCATTCTGTCTTCAGCTAAGAATGTCAACCCCACATACAAACCATTTCTCCTAAGTCTAATGCCTAAACGTGAGTGATGCTGAGAAGAGTCGGAACACCAGCTCCATCTACTTTTTTAGCTCTGTGACTCTCAATATGTCGTTTAATGTAAAAGAAAATAGCAGATGTGGAGAATCTCATACACACACGAAGCCTCAATGAATATACTTGTTTTTAAGGGTGTTTGCAAACATTCGATGAAGTGAGAGAAACCTGGCCTCTCAGTTCCAGATGATAAAGAGAATTACTTGTATTGCCTTGCCTGAGAGAAGGCAAGCCTAGCTGCCTTATGCCAAATTTCACTGAGAACTTTGCTTTCCTTTGCAGACTGAAGTCTGTTCTTTTCATCAGAAAAGGCTTATGTGGAAGCATATTGGGAAACTGGTGTGGGGGTTGGCATCTGATCTAGCTTCAGTAGGGAGTAGAAGCCAACTCCACATCAACCCAAGGCTGTTTGCCCCAAGGCAGAGGTCCAGCTGTCTCCACCCTCCCTCCTTCTTTCCCCTGGTCTGTTACAGCCCAGACTTCACACAGCATGTCACTTCCCTTGCTGACTTCAATTAGTCGTCGCAGGGGTCAGAGAGTACTCATAGAGCCCATAGCATAGCCCTGGTCATGCCTCTGGGAGCATTATCAGGGAAGCCAGCAGGTTATAAAATGGTGAGGATAGTTCTTTTGTCTGCAGTACCTCTTCTCAGCCACACTGGCAGGCTTGTTCCTCTCTGCTCTCGGCCTCTCAGCCACACGGTCCTTTGGCCTTTGCCTCCTGCTGTGGGCCAGGAAGCCTCCCATTCTGCCCCATTCTCAGTGCTGCTTGCGTGCTGTTTCGTGGTCCAGGCATCAGGTGCCTCTGCTACTCACACTGCTTCAGGCAGGGCTATCACACGTGCTGTACTGGGGGCTTATTTCCTGAGGGCCGAGATTTTATACCCTTGGTTGTATGCTCCCACCCTGTTACTAAGACTGGAGGGCTAGCAGAGCTCTACCGAGCAATTGGAAAAATACACTTTGTCTTCCCTGCCCTTTAGAAGAGTGAGGCAAATCAGAAGTTGTAAGACATTTCTCTCCCATCTAAGGTTGGGATCTGTTTCTACACGACTGTGAGGTGTTCTTGAGGACCGTGGATCTCACAGATCTCTGTATCTACCTATGGAGAAAACTTCTACTTAAAAACTCTCGTGATTGCCTTGATTGCTAATGTTGTTGAGGCTTTCCTGTATTCGCTGCGCAGCTGGAAGCAATCTCTCCCTTATCCACATGACAATTCCATGTAGTGAGGCTGTTAATCCCATTTTACAAACAAGAAAACTGGGGCCACAGTAATTTTACGTTTTGGAGTTAGAATTTTGGATGTGAGTAAAGGGGGCTGATGTTGTGACTCAGAGGAAGATTGAAAGCCACAGGTTCGCCATCATTTCTTCTTGTCAGGGTGTCCTCAAGTGCCTCCGCCCTCTCTTCCCAGGTGGCAGATATGTGGCTGGCATCCAAGTACAGAGCCTATGCGATCAGCGGCCCCACAGTCCAAGACGGCCTCCCGGTTTTTCGCTGGGGCTCTTTCAACAAGACTGTCCACCAGGGCATGCCGGAGGCCTACAACTTTGATTTTACCCACATGAAACCAATATTAACATGAGGGAGATGAGGAAAGAGAAGGCATTATTTTAGCTATGTTTTTCCCTTCAGAATGTATCTTAATAAAATATATTAAATTCATAATTTGTCCATTTTCCACTGCTGGTTTTGTTTATAACAGCAAATGCACTAACATCAAATGTAACAACAGTAGACTTCAGCATACAGGATGCTGACCACGAGGCCAATGGCAGAACTGCTCCTTGACGCGCCAAAATAACGGAAACCTTTTGACGCCTGGTCACACGAGGCCTGGCACATCTCCAAGTTCCCCTAGGAGGTGGGACCAGTAGCCGGTGTGGGATGGGACCAGTGCCATTGCAGACGTGGCCCACAAAGAACCTGAACTCCTCCTCCATGTTCTTGCCCCCCCCTTCTTGCCAGGCTGTGCCATAGGGGAGGAGGGAGGCATTTTCAAAAGAATCACTGGTGAAAAATCAGCTAGTGATTTTTCTGGGCGTTCATAAACATCACGAGTGTTTTTGTAGTGCACAATAAATATAGCAAAGGAAGAAACAACAAAGCTTAAGTTAGCACGTATCCAATACTGTAAGAAGATCCGTGCCATCAGCTGGGCTGTGTAGCTCTCCCGTCATTAAAACAATATACCCATGCACACAGCGGAATACTACACATTAAGTAACAAATCAAAGAAACGCCTCCTAACATGGATGAACTACATTAAATTAGTCACAGAAGACAAGTATTCAATGGGGTCACTATTATTAAAGAGTCAAGAAAAGGTTCTCACACTAGAAAAAAACATTCTTTGATGATGAGCAGGGTGGGAAGTAAGGGAAGTTCAAGGCTAGATGGCAGACAATTGTCAGCTTAAGTGAAGGGGAAGGCAAAATACAATAAAAGGGAGGTTGGTAAAGAATCACGGAGGCAGGGGGAGATACTGGGAGGGTTGCGAGAGTCAAAGGCAGCAGAGGCAAATACTGTTTATACACACAATCCTGGAATAGTGGTGACCTACAAGCTTAGGTAGACAAACAGTTGGGAAAGGAAGGCTCAGCGTGTACTCCTAAATTATATATAGGTATGTAAAAAGACATATACATTATATAAATATACATACACTATACATATGACTGAGGACATTTATATTTCCATCTGCTTCATATGTATATGCATGAAACATGGCGGAATATGCCAGGAGCAAAGCTATGAAACCTAGACAGTCATACAACTTGAGTTGCTGAGCCTGGGAGATCAGAACCAGTTTGGGGGGACACCAAGGTCAATGGGCGTTAACAGTCCACAAAGACAATGCTTTACAGCCTACTTTGGTGAGTAGCAACTTGATCTTAAACGCTTACAAGCAGCCATTTAAGGTGCAAACATTGGTCTCTGTCTTTTGAAGAATGATAAAATTTCTAAGAGCTGCATGGAACCTCACGAACCTCACGAAGGTCCACAAGAACCTCAATCTCCAGAGCCCAGAAACCAGAACTAGATGGTGCCGTTACCACTACCAGAAGGTCCTGGATGGGATGGGAGAAAAACAATGTGGACCAGAACTGAAAATTAAGACCAGACTGACCGTCAGAGACTGGTGGCACCGAGACTATGGTGCTTCGTTCCCCTCCAGGTCTGGAACCTAGTGCACTCCTGTGCTACACTAGTCAGTCACCGCAGGCCCAAAGGGCGGCGGCTCCCCGAGAACACACACACAGTTCAGAGCTTTCGGAGGGGAGGAGGAATGGAAAGAGGAAAAGCAGGGAGGTCGTGAGAAGTGATGAGCTATTGAGGGGATTGTAACAGAGTTGAAACCAAAAGCGTACGAATTACTGAATAGAAAACTGATGATCCGTTCTACAACCCTTCACCTAATTCACAAAAGAAGTTTTAAGAAATGACGAAGGCCCAGCAGCACAGGGATCCAGGGGCCGGTTGTCGCACTGCTCCAAGTGGGCACTTTTCACCAGGCCAACAGCAAAAACCTGACTTTAAAACACTTGGATGGCCGAATTTCAGTCTCATCTTGCATCTGCTTGGACTCCGTTCAGCACTCGTATTAGTACATTACAAAACGCATGTGTCTTTTGATTTACACACGATAACAATTTCATTTATTGATATTTAATTATTTATTGTTTAGATGTTTTACGGTTACTTCCACAATTTGGGGTGTTAATTTTTTGTCTGGGGGGCAGGGGAGAGCCTTTCTAAGTGTAGTTTTTGTTTTCCATTATTCCTTATGGGAAAATATGTCAATTCTCCATCCAACTCCCCGCTTTCTGAATACAACTTTGGAATGAATTGCATTTGACAACTGAGTTATCACTGTATGTCCAATTAGGCAGCAATTTTGCAGTATAGCCAATTGGGAGGCAACTCTGCACAGCAACTTTTCTCTGAAAACTGAAGGCTTGTTCTGAGGGTCATGGAGTTTGGAGGAAGTTGAATCAAACGTTCAGAGGAGTGTGCTGCTGCTGTCATCAGCGAGCAGGTGTGGAACTAACGTATGTAGAAGAGGGCCGCTGCGCAGGGTCCCCAAGCAGGTGACTCTTCTGAACCACACTTGGGTTCCAAGCGGCCTCTCTGGTTGGGGGAGGTTCAACCACCAACCTTTCAGCAAATAGGTGATTTTAAGCGAGTGTAAGTTTTTCAAAAGAACGCACAAGACTGAGAGTAATCAGAATGAATCAGAGCATACACAGAATGTTAAAAACCCAGTAGTTTATTTCAAAGTATAAATTTCAGGCTTGCTGCACAAAACCCCACTACAGTTAACACTTATACAGAAACCACTATACTGTACATTAAAAAAACAAAAAAACCTTCAAAAGCTAATAAAAATTGGGCAACTTGCCCAATTGATATTAGACATTAGGAAGGTCTTACATGACCTTATTCTTTACATTTTCAGCTGCAATAAAGAAAAATCAGGATGCAAGTTTCCTACAAAGTATTTTTACATTTAATTTTCACATGGTTGATAAAATACTTAAGCCAGGATCCTCAAAGGCAGTTGGTTACCCAATTACCTTATTTACAAAAATTAAAATTAAAAAAAGATAGCATTTAAATATAAATGATGGATTCTTAGCTGACTCTACAAACAAGAAACAAAAACAATTTTTATGAGAAGACAAAACTTGTATTCTGTCTTCTTCCTCCCCATGGTTGGCTCAAGGGGATGAGTTTAAGAAAGCAGGTAGATCTGCCACACTAATAAAACACCTTATAAAAGGATTGCTTTTTCACTTTTTGTCCAAAAAGAGGGCATAATTGGCCCAGTTAATAGGAAGGAAGGCAGAATCATACATTGATTTACATACAGTTATTTATAATAATCTAATACTGGGACATGATTTCACTGGAAATCAGAATAAAATGGCCAATAATGGGTCAGGGACAAAATTAAAGTAAGAAAAATAATCAAAAGACACGGAAGCAGCCCAAGGAGGAAAATTGGGGAGAATACTTGGAAGGCCTTTGCAGGACTCGTCTGTGCAAAGACCACAGTATCTATAGTGAGGGATGAGGATGTCACCGGCCTTATTTTGTGGCTCTTGTACAGTACTGGAAAACTTACGGAAGCTATATGCAGATCATGCAATATTAACACTAGCCTTGCTGCATAAATCATTGAGAATCATCAAAGCAAAGGAGCAAACAACAACAGAAAACCCATCTCACTGTATCCAATACAGTATGGTGCAATTCGGCCTAGGTTCTGCAGACGAGAGGGCCCCAAGGAAGAGTCCAAGCTCCTGGCTTTTGGTCCTCTTCCCAAGGGACTATCTGGCAACGGCGGCGAGGAAGAGTGAATAGGGAACACCTCTGTGAGGCAAATGGTCTCTCCAAAAAAACCAAAAATCACTTGTCAAAGAGGAAAGCTCTCCTGTCCCCTAAATGTATACAGTACACAGTATTCTGCAGTTTTTAAAAAGCGAGCATAGAGAAACAGAAGGCGCAGTTAACTGTTGGAACAGATGTTTTGTTTGTATGCAGTATACAAATCCACCGGCAGGAACATAATTTTAAAAAGAGGTTTAAATCACACTTAGAACAGGGTGAAGAGTACTCTGACAAAGTGCCCGGTAGAGAGTAACAAACCTTGTGGTAGCTACCTTTAAATGCCAGACATTGCAGGCTGAAGAGCAGAAGTTTCCAAGATCCCCACAGGGCAATACTTACCCAAGTATGGTCAGGCTGAAAATGTAGCAAACTTGTATTCCCCAAATGGGATAATTGAGCTTTATCTGTAATACTTTGTGAAAAGGTACCATGAAATACAAAAGGGTACCATGGTGTGTGACTTGCTACTAAAAAGTTGTCTTAAGTAGCTATTTTTAGCTGTGAACCTCCATTCTCACTCCCTAAAGAAATCACAAAATCAACAGCCAGCACACGAAATAAAAACCTGTTCACGATGACTCCCTTGGGTTCTGGTCTAGCACCTTTTAGTACATCAGTGTAGCTGTTGCCCATAAATCACATGGCAGCTAATTTGAGGAGCCTGAAAACATTGCAATGTTCTCTTTGTACCTTCCTTCCACCATCTGGAATAAAACAATTTTAAGTTTATTGTAGTAAAGCTATTTCCAGGTTACTATTTGAGAATTTACTATCACACCACCACCCCCCCATCCCCTTTCATAGAAAACACACAATATAGGCTAAAATAATAAAATATTTTTATCCTACTGGGCTTTCCTCGCTTGATTATATAATGCTTGAAAGCTTTAAAAAAAATAATGAATATAAACACTTATCAAGGGAACTTTTTCTATACTAGTAAGCAAATGTCACATGACCATAAAATAGGTCAATACAGAATAATTTTGAACACAGGCTAATTCTGTACACAGAAATCCTGATCACATAAATCAACATTAACTAATGTATCTACATAGAGATAGATAGATGCTCATATACATCAAGAGGATCATCAATTTCCCCATTTTGAAATGATCATTGTCATTACACTGACAACTTTACTATCATCTTAAAATTAGTCCTGGAACGAGGAACATCTACACAGTTGGTTGGCAAACTAGAGTCATGAGAACACCAATTCTCATTATGATCTCGTCCTCTGCAAGCGAAAGGAAGGTGTCAGAGACTTCACGTTTTTGCTACCTGTAGGCTTTCTGTAACATCAACCTTCACGATTAAGATGATAGCACATGACCTGTGAAGCATATTTTCTCTGAGAATTTTATAGCCAGAATTCCCATGACAGAGCTGCAAACAAAACTGCACTTAAAGTAATTCCCGGGAAAATCAATGACAAATTTGAGACGGTCAAATTACAGATTAAATATGTTAAGGTCCAGATGGCTTGAAAATTTATTTTACAAACTCCATTAATTCTTTTAAAGCATTTCCAATCAGGCGTTTATTCTCAAACTTACCCCAGCCTTGCTGTCTTAAACTATCTACACTTAACCCTAAGCTGATACCATGTAGCTGGTAATGACAATCCACACTCGAAGCTGAATTTTATTAACTCTGAAGAGAAATGGAGTTACACAGGATTTTACACATAATTGTTATAGAAAATGACCCCAGAGGAGATGCTGAAACGTCTATTCATGGCTGGCATAAATAAATGACTTGGCACCACAAAACATAACAGATTAAAATAGGTTGATCGATATGGGAATAAAGAAGACATGGTGCTCCCCCTTTAGATATTTGTTTCCTGTGCTTTGTGAATTTTACCACTTACTTCCTTTGGAACGGCACTAGGTTTGGGGGGTGAACTAAAATTATTTTCATAATCTCTAGGACATCATACAACACAGACAGTAAAGCACAATTCGTTTTCTCTTGGTCCACTTTACAGAGAGTGAATTTATATAGTGACCAAAAATAAAACATTTGTATTCTATAGAAGAAAATAGCACATCAATTTTTAATTATTATTCTTTTAAGTTAAATGTAATGATAACCACAGGTGCGAATATATATAAAAGCCTTGGTTTGGGGGGACAGGGCACACTTGCTGGAGATGCAGGAGAAATGAAGGGCGAAAGGCTGAAAGGGAAGAGTAAACAGCTATGGACATATGGCCGTGCTTATATTTGTAGTTAGTCTTTAAGGCACAAAATAAATTCAAAACACCAGATGAAGAGAAAGACAGGGCCGCCTGTGGCTTTTACTCCTGATACACAACTCAAGAGATTCTTGACAAAAAAAGATGAACTGTTTCTCCCTTGTGTTCAAATTAATACTTTTAGTTACTTTAATGTAGTCATCCTTCTTCATGTATTACTTTGGGTTTTGTTTAGATACAATTTAAATGAGTAACCATGATCCCACAGATCCCTCAGAATCAGAATCATTATCCTGCCACTTATGTAATTAATATCCTTTGATCGATTTAACTGAAAAAGAGGTAAATTTGAGAATGGAGGTGGGAGATTCCACTTCAAGAAACAGGTGGATAAGGGGGAAAAACAAAACACAAACACCCACAACTATTCCCAAGACTCTAGCCTCAAAACTAAATAAGCAAGGTGCACATTTACATTTCAAAAGTTTGAAGCTTGAATTGTCCAGGAAAATAGATTCTTGCTTTATAGGTAGAGTTTATTTTACTTTTGGTTATAAACAAATGTAGTGTTTCGGACATACCCGTCCAAGGAATCTTGCAGAATGTTGATTTTTATAATGGGTACCATGCACAGGATTAAAAACAAGACCAAAAAGTCGAACTTCTGAAAGAGATAAAGGCTTCAGGGTTTAACTGTTCTGGGAAGAAGAGATCACATCTGTTGACTGCGGGTCACAGAATGGTCCGAATCGCCCATAAATGTCCTTGGCTCTTACTGCAAAGTAGTACTTGCTGCCAGACACAAACTGGGTGAGAGTACAAGCCATGGGCAAAGGAAGTGCCTTCACTTCCCCGATCTTTTTCCACTGTGAGGGCACAGTGGCACTGGGTTCCTCGTGATAAGCATAGAGATGGTAACTATCAACAGTGGCACAGCTTCGATCCACTTCCAGGACACTCCATGACAGTACGATGCCATTTTGACTCTGAACTCGTGCTAACTTCAGGTGTGGCTTCTGAGGCAGAGATGTGCTGGCAGCTTCTGGGGGCAGACGCTGTGGTTGTGGGGCTTCTGGTAAAGGTGCTGGGTGCACAGGGCGTGGGGGCTCCTATTAAAGAATAATCACATTAATTTAAGATGATCACAACTCTTTCAGAAAAATGAAAGCAAAGGCCAGGAACTTTGGATGAACTTTCTGAAAGCGTGGAATAGAGCATTTGTCACTGCCTTTATAATGGAAGTGATATCAAAAATATTATCTTAACTGAAATTCACTCTATAAAGATATGTTTGACTGTTTGTAAATAAGTTGCTAATTCGACCAATGAATCCTGTGACGGTCTGATGGTATCTTTTTCATTTCTACACCTTCTCAAAGTTTAGTAGCAGTGACTTTCACACAGTAAGAACTCAAAACGGACATGCCGAGTAAGTCCATGGAAAACAAATGCATTGATGAGATCCATATGCCCAGTGGGGAAAAAATCTATGTATCTGAGGAAATGCACAATGCGTTGACACACAAAAAAGGAAACCAAACGTAGTTCACTGTGATCCCTAAAAGCTGGAGTAGAAATTATTTGCGTATAGCCCTGAATGGTTTAGTTTCTCTCCCAAGTGATCTTTTCTACCTAAAATAACAGTCCCTTAAGTAACATTAAATAAATGTGCAGCTAGCAAAACATAGAAGACCGTTGTGCTAATTCCATGAGCTTTGATCGAAGAAGGCTTAATAAGCGACAATAATTTCTAAAGGTCTGGTTCTAACTCTAGCTGTAGGCTTCTGAATCAGCACAAACACCACGTTTCTTCTTTTGTCTTCCAGGTTGCTATTCCCATGACACTTTCACAGGTTAACTGTTGGAGTTTAGTGGTAGGCTTTATATTATTCCCTTAACTTCTGAAGATTTGAACAGCTGAATGGAAGAAGTTTAACGTTTACATTAAAATATAGGTTCAAAAACCTATTTATTCCCAAAAGATAAGCACAGTTTATTTTAAGACAAAACACATGGGGTTCTGTTTATGGAGGAAAGAAGAAAGGCTTTGGTTGGTTGCCAAATTTGCAAAATAATATTATAAAGAAATTTGCTATATACTTTCTAAAAGTATAATCTAATGGAAGAAGTGACTTGCAGGTGCAAAAACAGTTATGGTGTATTGGTCACATAATAAAATATTTTAGAAGCACTGGGATCAAGCAATATAATTTTTAAAAAACTGGGCTGAAACTGACATTGGACAATGGCACCACTTACGCCAACTTAAGTGGTTAAATGCAACCATTTAACAGTTCTGTGACGTAGTATGCTTTTCTGCCCCAAAAGGGGGAAAAATAATCCTTATAGGCTTGTGTAAATTAAATAATACATGTAATGTGTGTATACATATATATACACACACATATACACATATATAGATTGATAGAACTATATTAGCAAGTGAATCCAATAATGTCACTGATTTTTTTTTCCCCCACTGTAGATGAGCAATTAAAATACTAGTTGCTACAATCATAGACTCTGGGGCTGTTATGCATTGGTTCTAATTCCACTTAATCCATTCCCATGTGTGCACTAGCTACCCTATTTATAAAAAAGGTTATACAGTTATAAACTTTCCTAAAGCACACCTACATGAGGAGCCCATACATTAACAGTAACTGGTTCATGGTAGCATTCCATAAATGCTAGCAATTTTCATAAAATTTTTTGGAAAGGTATCTTCCTAGGCAAAAAGTTGTCATAACTGTAAAGGTTGTTATACTTCTAAATAAAAAGTTGGTATTCCTCTTGCTTATATAAAGTTAGCATTTACATTTACATGGTGTAGTCATAGTAATCAAATTTAAGTAAAAATCACTGGACTTCTCTGCGTCTCATAACAAATAAATTCAAATACCACTGGATCATTTAAAACAGTAAGTAGATGACAATCAAACAGAACTGATACACTATTCTGAAGAAAAGAATAGGAAGCATGAAAAAAGGGAACATTTTAATTTGGTCATAAGTTAAAGTGGTTTACTTCACTTCCTGTGCCCTAACTGTAGACCCTGCTGTACTGCATACACCACCACAAGCAAACGCAATGATCGTCAGACTCCTAGAAAGACCATAATGTTCCCAATGGTAAGATCAATTTCTAAAAACTCCTGCTAGGAAAATAGAAAGATCTAGCATTTCCCTTAGTCAAAACTACTTTCAAAGGAAAAAGTGCCCCCTACAGTTTGTGGCCACTTTACCCGGGCACTTACAGCATGCACTTGTGGTGGTCGGTGGTGCACCGTGAGCTGAGGTCCCGCTGATCCCAGCGCCAGTCCGTTGTTTACAACATACGTAGTTGTCTGAGGCACTCGAACGGTGACACCTGCACAACGTTAAAAGATACAATCAATCTGATTTTAACCCAAATGTGGTGGACACTGTCAAAGCAGCATTAACTTTCAAATGTGAAGTAAATAAATAGATAAAACTTCAATAAACTTTGAAGGGAAGGGATGTGTTGCCAGAACAAGAGAGAAAATCAACGAGGAACACATGAGATAAAACAGATAGGAGATTCAATATACTAGTAAGACAGAAAAGTACAGAGAGTCTACCGGGATATTCTGGAACACTGCTATATCATATGCAGGTGGCTGTCAGGCTACTCTCAAACACCGTGACTCAAAAGACAGACTGAACCATCCTCCTAAAGATCTGTTACCCAACGATGAGAAATACAACTTTCCTCTAGTTCCTAAATGTTTCCTCCCCGCCCCCACTATCATGACACGAATTCTACCTTGCAAGTCTGGCTAGACCAGAGGATGTACACTGGTACAGATGGGAACTGGAAGCACAGGGAATCCAGGGAGGATGATCCCTTCAGGACCAGTGGTGTGAGTGGTGATACTGGGAGGGTAGAGGGAGAGTGGGTTGGAAAGAGGGAACCGATTATAAGGAACTATATGTGACCTCCTCCCTGGGGGACGGACAACCGAAAAGTGGGTGAAGGGAGATGTTGGACAGGTCAAGATATGACAAAATAACAATTTATAAATTATCAAGGGTTCATGAGGGAGGGGGGAGCAGGGAGAGAGGGGAAAAATGAGGACCTAATGCCGGGGTTTAAGTGGAAAGGAAATGTTTTGAGAATGATGAGGGCAATGAATGTACAAATGCGCTTTACACAATCGATGTGTGTATGGATTGTGATAAGAGTTGTATGAGCCCCTAATAAAATGATAAAAAAAAAAAAGATCTGTTACCTTTGAACACACAAAGTTTAAGGTACACTTGCCTTGTATTAATGAATTTTCTCCCTTGCCCACCATGCCCTATGTCAGTAGAGGATATTCACCCCACAGAAATGTTCAATAATAATATATAATTTATGAAGGGCTGAAGCGGTATTAGCGTGGGGGAGGGAGAGGATAAGGGGAGCTGATATTAAGGAGTTCAAGAAAAAAGAAAATGGATTTTAAGTGATGGTTGCATCAACTTTACAACTACGCCTGATCTAATGGAGCTGTGGATTATAATCATGTGTTAAGGGCTCCCAATAAAATGTTTTTTAAAAACCCGCAGTATAGCAAAGGAAAAAAAGAAAGAAATGTCCTGTTTTTGCATACACCAGAACAACAAAAGCAGATAATTCAATCACATCCCTACTAAATATTCCGTTCCTGGCCCACACTATAGTCCTGCCAAGTGGTCTGACTGGGCTGAATTGAAGCCTGTTTCCCACAACTGGTTCATGGCCTTGTTTATGAGGTTAGGCGCCCCCCCCCCCCCCCCACCTGAAATTGCGCTGGGTGGAGTGGAAAGTCCCCGCTAGATGAGCACCAAGCTACTGGCTCTGAGTTAATGCACCCAGTGGTGTCGCCTGGGAAGATTCCATCTGGTCACAGTGAATTTTTTCGTAAAAGCAGTTTCACCCAAACATCGTTTTTTGTGATGGATGATTTAAGAAAACAGCATGTGGCTGTAAAATTTTGTTTCCTGCTTGGGAAAAATGCTGTAGAAACTGTTGTGATGTTGGACACAGATTATAAGGACAGTGCTGTAGGAAAGACTCAAGTGTACGAGTGGTTTTCTTGTTTCTAAAAAGGTCAAAAATTGATTACAAACCTAGTTCTAGGCGTCTGTCAACTTCCCTAGCACATAAAAATGTCAACTCATAGTACATATGGAGTTCGTTCTACCAGGTCAGACTATTAATCAAGTTTTCTATTTAGAGGTTCTGAAAAGATTGTGTAACAGTGTGCAACAAGAGAAACCTCATTTGTGGCAGATGGGGGACTGGTTTTGCCACCATAACAATACACCTGCTCACGCAGCCATCCCGGTGCACCAATTTTTGGGCAAAAAACACCATGCCTCTCTTGCTCAACGCACCTAACCTCACTCCGTGAGACTTCTTTTTGTTTCAGGGAAGAAAAAACTGGGGGAGGTGCTGTCAGCCATCGAAACAGATGAGCTTGAAAACTGTCTCCAAGAATGGACATGCAGATTTGACAATGTATTAAGTTTAATGAAGAGTACTTCGAAGGTGGTAACATTGTTTTGTAAAGAAAAGTTAAATACATAGCTTGGAAAAGAAGAAATTCCAGGGTTTTCTGGGTACCCTTCGTACTGACTGCCTCAGCCAGTGAGAGACCTTATAAACTCTTGAGAACAACATTGAAACCAAGAGACGACTAGTTTATTTTGTCCTAGGAGTCACCTTCCAATAATAGAATGGATGCAACTGACTGGCCAGATTAATTCCTGTTGTTAAGATGAGCAAAGCTAAGTCACACATGGAGGGAGGGAGGGAGGGAGGGAGAGTGTGTCCGCACATGTAGATAGGTGAGAAGAACTGAAAGATTAATACAAAAGTAAGCTAGCGATTACCTCTTATGAAGATATAGAAAACAATGTTTTATTTCTGAGAAAGCTCAGAAGGGGTTCATTCCTTTTCTTTTAAACGTTTTAAGGATATATATGTATATATACCTTTTATATAAGTTTCTGCTTACAGTATACATTTTATTTCTAAGAAAACAAAACAAAGTATGTGGAAACTTCATGTTTCCTTTAACATTTCCTCTATTCTTATTTTCAGCCACCTTCCATACTTCTACGCCTCTCTCATCGGAGGCTATCCTTGATCATTATTTCTGAAGGTCAGGCTAAGTCACCATCGCCGAGGCTCACTTTTAATCGGCTGGAGTGTCTTCTCGTGGAGTAGAGTATGGACTCAGCTCTTTTAGGGTCACACTGTGACAGCACATACAAGGTCATAAGTGACACTACATGGAACATAACAGAGCACATGTCACAAATGTTCGCTTTATCTCTAACTTTCCTACTTGTGGAGAATGATGACTTGCTTATGAATAGTTTTGATATACATTCTAATGAAAACCATATACTCTGCTATTAAGTAGTTTCTGTTACATTTAATGTCAGTTATATGGCACGACAACTAAACACTGAGAAGAAGGGCACATCAGAAGCCAGATTTAAGAAGAGATGGCTTACTATTTTGAGGATTCACCTGCCTCACAGCAGGAGCCTGCATGACTGTCCCTCGAAGGGGAGCCTGTGCTGGTGGTGCCGGGAGAGTTGTATAAACAACTTGGTGGTTTGCAGGAGCTCTTGGTACAGGGAGCCTTGTTGTAACCTGAGTTACTGGATTATGTGTTACATTCACGGTGGTTGGTGCTAAGGAAGAGCAGAAAACTACATTAACATGATCAATTGTTTAAAAAACAATATCAAGTTGCCATTATTGTGTACAAAATTTATATGAAATGAAAGAAGCAGAATCAGAAACAGCAGTCTCAAATGTTACAAGGTAAGAATGCTTCCACCAGTCCAAACTATTATTGTTACAGTTCAGTCTCAAATGTTACAAGGTAAGAATGCTTCCACCAGTCCAAACTATTATTGTTATAGTTTAGATACCATAAGAAAAGGGCACGCCAACCACGTCCACTGCCCTTTCCAGTGTTCACTTTGACAGCAAGCAGGTAAAGATAAACTAAGGGTCTAACTCTGGGAAGAACCTTAAGGCACATTTTGTCCTCCCTCAATTTTATATAGTTTCTAGAAGAATGGGATTGTAGGTTCCTTTGGGTCCTCTAGCCAATTTAAATTTTAAATTGTTAACTCTGTATTCTCGTTGTGCAAGAAACTAGCTGGCTATTTTAATTTACTTTTTTTTTTTTCAGGTGAACCATCTCTACTCAAACTATCACATATCCCATTAATGTCTAGAGTAATGTTAATATCATTATAAAAAAAAGGAATTGTGCATGCTCAATACCAGCATGGGACTACAGTAATAACAAATTTAAGAGTTATTACCTTTTATTTATAGCTCTTTGATTTATAATCCTATTTTACAGATGCATACACACTAACTATATAATAAACAACTGATTTACTTTCATATGAAAAGCAAGTTCCCTAACTAAATAAATTAGAAGGAACATGCTAAGATAGGAAAAAGGTTAAAAAAAAAGTTTCTTTACTAATGATGACTCTCTAGTCTTTCGCATCTTAATTTTGTTTTTTGTTTTGGTTTGATGTTTTTCACATCTTAACTTTCAAGGTGAGTCTTTAGAAAGGAAAGAGACTATAGCGGAGGAAGAGACATTGGATTTCATTTCTTCACTCCTCGTTCTAATACATATACGCATGAGGTTACATGACATTGCATTCTAAAATTCTAACTTAGGTCAAAGTCAACTACGTATAAATGGAAAGAGACGTAAGTAACATACTTCCTCTGATTGAACTATAGTCCTTAGGCACTTAGTGATGAGTCAGAGTTTGGCAGTTTGAATCTTCCCAACAGTCCCGAAGAAGGACGGTCTGAAGCCCTACTTCTAAAAGATCACAGCCACTGACGGTCTGAAAGAGTACAATTCTCTGAAACACATGGGGTCTACCTATAAGAGTAGAGATCAACTTGCAAAGCAAAGTTGGGATTTTTAAAAAAATCATTTTATTAGGGGCTCATACAATTCTTATCACAATCCATACATACATCAATTTTTTTTCCTGTTTTTTAATTGTTGAACTTAGGAATTTTTTCCTTTTTTGGAACTTTGGGGTTTTGAGGGTGTGTGTGTGTGTTTCTTTTCTGTTTAATTGTTGACCTTAGAAGTAATTGCCATTTAGATTGAACAATAGCAGGTAAATATGAAAACCAACATAAAACCTCTACACCAGAAATAAATCCATATAAAGACCATTATTTTTACTAGCAGTGGCGATGAAGCAAAATATAATCTGACAGGGAATTCTGCATTACTATCTAGGATTCTGAAACCCAACAACTTTCAAATTAATTATCAAACTTACAAGTACTAAGTGCCCAAACACTAACCCAGCAATTCTCAAGGATTAATTAATTGGAAATCAGCACCAAAACATCATCCTTCCTACAAATTACACTGGTTCCTTAAGAGAAATGTCACTGGATAAAGTCCCATGCCAACCCAACACTTTCCTTGAGAAGAATGTGTATTCGTGTGTAGATGAAATCTTTAACCATTAAACTGCTGTAAAAGAAAATAAACCGTCTTGTGCTCACTTTGGCAGCACTTATACTGAAAGAAAATTAAATTGGCTTTGAAGATAGACTATATCCTTTAAATCTTTGATGTGCATCCTCTTGAGCAGTACATAAGTAAATTATATCTATTAATGTCTACTTCCTAATAATTGTGTAAACTCAATTTAAACCAATTGGGTTGGAGCTAATTTTAAAATCTTTGTTTATCAGTTACTTCCCAGATTACTCTGAGAATTAGTCTTTCTTTACACCCATCCCTTTTAAGGAAACTACATTTATTTTCTCAGTTTACAATGGCACAGACATATACAGCTCATACCTTCAATATACTCATTCTTATTATCAGAGTTACTACTTAAGGTCAGTAAGGAATTGCATTTAAAAATGTACACTGTCTTCAAAATAACAATAAAATTTTGCTTAATTCCCTGTTGAACTTTCCACACTATTCACTTTCAATCATGTTTCTCTATAGGCAAAACTAATGTCTCGGCTCACTGACGTGTCAAATTTACCGGTAGGTAGTAAGTGTATGGTTGTCTGAGATGGTCCACTTGTTGGCACCCCAGATGGCTGAAGGGGGGGCGCTGGCCGTATGGGTTGCAATGGTCGAGTCACAGGCTGAGACGAACCGACAGTTGATACAGAAGTGTGACTTAGTTTTTTGGGTTCTGTAAATTAAAAGTGAAGCATGGTGGTTACTGAACAAAAATAATCAGAAATACGGGTTTTATCTTTAGAATAAATTTTACTTTTGATTTCCATTTCACTTCTAATCAGGAGCTTGACAGACTGAACCTCACCGGCCACTTCATAGCAGAAAGATGTACTAATCTAGTTAGACAAAGAGTCGCAGCCTTGGAAACCCTAGGAGGCAGTTCTACTATGTCCTACAGGGACCTATAAATTGGAATTGGTCAGGGGGGGGCTCATTTCGCCATTCAAGTCACACATATCTCTAAAAGAGTTAACTTCCTTTCTGTTATAATTACGTGTTTTTGTTCATTTGAAAACTGAGTCACAGAGTTTAAATAATTGGTTACTGATCTTATCAGATTCTTACCTGACATTTTAAAAAACTCAGTTCTAAGTCTTAGGGAAAAAAAATTGTACTAGATTCAGTATGGTATTACAATTAACTATAGTAATAGTAATTTCATTTTGTACATAACTATAAATCTATATATTTATAACTAGCTGTTATCAAGGACATTATCCTAGGAGACTATCTTTAAATCAATGTGTTTTTCATCAGTAACCCTAAATGCCGATACCTAATTGTTATTTACATTTTTCTGCCTGGTAACACAAGATAAAGGCTGCTTCTTTTCATTATGCAGTCTTTGAAATAAAATATCCCAAGTCAGTCCTACCAGTACATTCTGTTACACACAGAATGTATAACCTTGAAATGTTGTTTCTCAATACCCAAGAAATTAATGTCTGTGGCACAAAGTTGATTAAAAATAGGAAACTACTATACACTAATATGAAAGATGTAAACTTCTATCTAAACACTTCTATCTCAACTCAACCCACTGATTGTTATCACCTCCATCCCATAATTTCTGGGGAGAGGGGAGGTTTGGGGGACTTACAAAATTTCTTACTAAAATGGAAGCGAAAATTAGGACTTTAGCGTCTGATACGCTAAGTGTACACAGAAAGCAATGCACTGGAGAATGGGAGAATTTACGATGCTCTAATTAAAGCTGCAGCAATGAGAAAAGCCCTCATGTGGTCGGGATGTTAGAAAGGAAGAAGTCCTGAGCTTGTTTACTTTCACGTTTTATCCTGAGTTAGTCCTACCTGTGCATTTGATGTGTATTTATTTTTGTTTCCTAGGGCTAACAACCAAAAACCATGCAAATTATGTGACAAAACTGAGGACTTCATACATGAAGAAAGCAAACTTAGACAACAAGAAGTCAAAATGAATGTCAGAAGACATTCTACAACTTGCTCTTGAATATAGACCTGTTAACAAGAAAAGAAGCGACAAAAGAGGCTGGGTAGAAGGCTTCCATGAGTCCTCTGAGAAGACAAGGTAAAATACCACAATGAAACGTGCAAAAGAAAAACTAAAATTAGAAGACCAACAGGGGATTATCTCACAGGCTGAACGAATGAAAAAAAAAAAGTCAAGCACTATTAAAGGACCCTATAAGTAAAATCAGTACTGAGTCAGAGGCAACTCGATGACAGTGAGATTTAAGGAGCAAAACAAGCAGAGCTGTTGACTCATTGGGTTAAGAGCTAACACAACAAGGTCAGAGACACAAGTCTACCAGCTCATTGCAAGAAGCTGTCTGCTGCTATGAACCCACTAACTAGACAGTAATGGGTTCATGAGCAAGATACTGAACAATACAAGCAGCATCAAAAGACGAGAGAAGTAATGCAGAGCCACTACCAAAAGGAACTGGTAAGCATTTACCCATTTCAGGGGGTACTCTATGATAAGAGAACTGATGATATTAAAAGAAGTTGCCAGGCTGGAATGAACAAATCACAGGCCAAAATTAAGTACCTAAGAATGGATGGAAAATCTATCAAAATGTTTCAATAAACCAATGCAGTGCTGGAAGTGCTCACTTGGCTAAGACAAGAAATCTGAAAGAAAGCTACCTGGGCAACCGACTAGAAGAGATTCATAGTTGGGGCTCATTAAAAAGAGATCAAACAGAATGTGGGTACTACTGAATAATATCATTAATATCACACACAGGTACAACTTTTCTAAAAATAATTCAAAAATTGTTGCAGCAGTAAATCGACAAGGAATTATCAGCAATTCAAGCAGGATTCAAGAGGGCATGGAACAAAGGTTATCACTGCTGGTAGCAGGTGAATCTTGGCTGAATGCAGAGAATAACAGGAAGATGTTTACTTGGATCTTACTATGCAAAAGCATTTAACTGTGTAAATTATAACAATTTCTGGGTAACATTGCAGAGAATGAGAATTACAGAACTCTTCCTTATGCTTATACATAACGTCTACATAGAAAACCAAGAGGCAGTCACATGAATAGGACAAGGAGATACTGCATGGTCTCAAATCAGTAAAGTGCGCAAAGACGTTCACAATACCTATTCAATGTGTACGTGGAGAAGTTGGACTATATGAGAAGGAACATGGCACCAGGATTGGAGGAAGGCTCATTAGCAACCTGCAATATGCAGATGTCATAACCTTGCTTGCTGAAAGCCAGTATGACTTGAAGCACGTACTGATGAAGAACCACTGTGAATTACCACTCAGTGTAAAGATAAAAAAAACTCTCACACTGGACCAATGCACTACATCAGCTCAAACAGAGAAGAACTGATGTATTTGAATTATGTTGTTGGCAAAGAATATATACCATGGAGTGCAAGAGGAACAAACAAATCTGTCTTGGAAGAAGTATAGTTAGAATGTCCTAAGAAGCAAGGACAGCCAGATTTCATATTGTATGCTTTGGACATGTTATCAAAAGGAACAAGTCTGAGGAGAAGGACATCATGTTTGATAAAGTGGAGAATAGATAAAAAAGGGAAGACTGTCAACAAAAAGGACTGATACAGTGGCCCCAAAAAGCTGTTCAAACACAGCGAGAGTTGTGAGGATGGTGCGAGACTAGACAGTGCTAGGGAGAAAGGGGCACTACCAGGTGGAACTGACTCAGGACACTTAATAAGGGCCAAATCTTCAGATAGTATAGTTCATTAAAAAAAGAAAAAGAAAAGCTAAGTGCAATGCAGGTAACTTGAAGCTTTTAAGTAACATTGGTCTAAATTTAATCCTGATGAATAATGACACAAATGTTTCCACCATTTTATATCCGTTTTATACAAGTCTTTACAGTCACACATTTAATTGTAAGCTACATAAATTTTGTTTTTTAAAAACCAAGTGAACTATCTTATTTCAAACAATATGATTTTTTAAATCTTTCAATGATTTAAAAATTGCTTTTAGGTAATTGTTGTCAGGTGTTACTGAGTTGGTTATGATTCACAGCGACCCCATATACAACAGGGAAATACTGTCCACATGCATTATGTAATAAAAGGCAAACAAGTACAAGCAATATAAAGATTATCTTAATAAAATGTCACAATATATTAAGAGGAAAATAAATGGCAACAAAGCCTTACTCTCCAGGACAATTATTATTTTAGTACCTTGTGAGGTTCCACACTCCTCATCATCCATTGTGAGATCGATGACACTGCCTGAATCACTGGCTGTGGGTTTCCCAGTCTGAAAAACAAAACGCTTACATTCTACAAGGAACTCTCTGGTTGATAAAAAGAAAAAAGAAAAAAACAGGAAAAGGAGACAAGGATAATAGAAATTTGGCTCAATCAGGACCCAGAAATGGTTTTTAACTAAAGAAAACACTATGTTTATATAAGTACCCAGGGATTAACATTTTCATTGTTATGAATAATTTTTAAAATAAAACAGTTTAATTCTCAAAATAAACCTACCAATTCTAGTTATTTAAAATGATTTAAAGTAAAGTTATACGTGATTTAAACACAACACTCACAGACTTTCCAACATTTAAAATGTTGACCAATCCTAACCCATGTTAATACTGTACTATTAATCCACCTAAGCACCAGGGGTAACCTTTAAATGTACCATCAGGTTTCATAAAAAAATCTAGATTTAGGTAAAATGTGATATGGTACACGTTAAACATTAAATTGTGTACCCCCCAAAATGGATGGAATTATTGGTCCTATATGGTTTCTTGTTATATGAATGAGGCCATACACTTGTAGGGTAGACTTGAAACCTAATCACTTCTTAGGTATGAAAAGTCCAGAATAAATAAAAAGAGGGAAAACACAACACACAGAGGAAGGAAGGCACCACACGAGGATTCTCTAACATGCCAAGAACAGCCGGCGTTAATGAATGAATATGGCTGAGGTCCTAATTTGTACTTTTAGTTATTCCTGTAAGAAATTAAATTTTTGGTCTTTAAAAATTACCCAAGTATGCTGTTTGTGTTGCACCAGCACTTAACTGAAAAAATATGGCACAATACAGTATATGCTTACTCTTGCAATCCTCAGAGTACCAATGAGTTCTGTTCCTAAACCTTTACACCTTTTGGTGCATAGGAGAACACTAAAGAAACATTTCCAGATACACTACAAGAGCTTTAACATACTGACAGAGTTATGAAAATTTTTGATGTGTCTCAAAAAAGCACTCACTTTATTTTGAACCACTGTCTGTACCACCAATCTTTAAGATAATGGGTTTTATGGGGGTTGCTTTTTTAACAACAGGTTGTACAAAGTTGGTCGTGCGTAACTCAAAGACTGCCTATACTATTGACTGGACACTTAAGTTGACCAAAGTCAGCCCAGTGTATAAATAATTAGAAACACATTAAAAAAAAAGAAAACAACCTTTAAAAAAAATGACAAAATAGGAAAGGAGGTAAAAAATAGAGGACTAGAAGGACAGAACTGACATTATTTACTCGCTATGTGAATTTAAATTAAGAGATACGTTTCTTCAATTTCCAAAATGTTGATTATGAAGGCTATTCCGAAGATTAATCCAGATGATAATACCAGACTTGGTAGATGGTATTTAATAAATGGTAACTATTAGAACTGAGTCTAAAAATCCCTGACTTAACAGCTTGACTGCTAACCAAAAGGCTGGCAGTTCAAACCTACCATCTTACACATGGGAGAAAAAGCCGCCCACGTATATAAAGAGTACACCTTTAGAAGCCCTATGGGGCAGTTCTACTTTAACCTATAGGATCACTAAGAGTCGACTGGCTAACAATGGGGTGTGGGATCATAATGTATTCTATAATACACAGATCAGCTCCAACAGATTAAGGTTTTCTGCAAAATTCAAGAAAATAATTCTTTGACTTTATACAAGTCAGGCCCAATCCCAATATAATGATGTCACATTTAATTATTTACAAACACAAATCTATGAAAACCGTAACTGAAAATGTCCAGTACCAAAAATATGTAAAATTCAGAACTAAACGCTTAAAACTACCTTCAAATAATATAATGGTGTCCATTCACAACATGTTCCTTATAAGGGTCAGGTTCCAACGAAGACCTCACGAGGCAAGCGTGGGAACCCGAGTAACAGGGGCCCAACTGAGCAGCTAACGCTCAGTGGAGTCCAATGATGCCTCCAGCAGACACAACATCAACACAGCTTTTAAATGAAGTGAACATCTTAGAGGAAACGGATTAGTGGTGAACGAACACAGAGGAAG